GTGTGTGTGTGTGAGAGAGAGAGAGAGAGAGAGAGAGTGAGAGTGAGAGAGAGAGAGAGAGAGAGAGTGAGAGAGAGTTATTAGTACAGATAAATGTACATCACATGACATTAATACTAATACAGATTAGGAGCACATCTTAATTTCTAATCTATTATTCAATTCATAATCAATCACTCTCTCCAGCTCCTGTTAAGGAAACTTTTGGATTCTTATTTATTTATTTATTTTATTCTGGACATTTGCACTATTAATTTCATTTAATTTCAAAATATTTTGTGGTTCATTTTTCAGATGAAGCCTCCTGAGTCTTTTTAAGTTATTGTTTGTTTTTAAGTTAACCTGAGTAGCATAAGTAGCTGAAAGACATGTTTTTTATTACTTTATATTTTATCCTTATTAATCTTCTGCTATGTTGCACCAAATGTAAAAACTCAATTCCAATTTTGTAGCTGATATATTTTGAACATTTAGCTGACTTTCCTCACATTTCAGACAGAAATTAAGGTAGAACATGTTGTATGTAATTGTTATTTAAATTGTTAATTTAAATCTAATAATGTAAGTGTTTAGTACAATGAAGAGTGCCCTCCAGTGGTCAGAGTGAATAACTACAACACTAAACACCACTTAACATAAGTTATTGATTACTGTTAACTCATAACTCTTGACAAGAAATGTAATACATTTGGGGATGAATTTATTGAATATGAATATAGATTTCATATTTATTTTATTTCATTTTTCTCAGAGTTTTACTCACGCAGGTGTTTTTTTTGCTGTGCTACTCCACAAGTTGTAGACATCAGCCTTTAAATTGTAAAATAATTTACATATTATAAAATTGTCAGACAATTCAAATGAATGTAGCAAAACCAAAGGTATTGTTGTTGTTGTCTTCTTTGTCAAAATCAGCATTAAAACCTTTTTCTCAAACTTTTCACATTCAGCTTTGTGTTCTCTACTTCCATAAAGAAGGTAACAGTTCTGCTACTGAAAATATCTCTACTGCAATCAGGACTTAAACTCCTGCAAACACACAACAATGTGAGCCAAAACAGTTTTTCTTTCTATGATCTTGTTAGCTTTGAAAGGTTCAGATATCAGATCTAGACATGGAGGTAAAATAAATCTTATTTGTGGCGTCAATACATTTCCAAAAATGTCTCAGTCCAGATAAAGTATAAACTTTTTTAACATTTTCTGCCAAATAGAAAAATATCCTACCAGAGGAGATGTTCCTTCTTCCAAGATGTCCTCCACTGACGCTGCAGATCTACGAGTGGGAGACAAATTAAAGTCTTAACATGTTAACAGCTGACAGAGAAAGTCAAAATCATACAATAATAAACATAGGATTTAGTTACATTAATAATCAACCGTAAGACTGGAAAGTGGAGCAACCTGAAGACTGTTCCATAGTTCCCACAGAGCGTCAGCAGCAGCAGTCCTCCTGCAACCATCAAACACAGAATAAATCATCAGAACTTTAAATTGCATCCATTATATGGTATATTCATGATATGCTGAAACATCATGATGATGTATGAACCATGGTGTATTGAAATATAAAAATGTTTAACATGAACAAGGGAAATGTGCTAACTCTTACAGTTTAACATTGGGGGGGCATTGACAACCACAATGGTCAATCTGGTGATTTACATATCTAACACTGTTTTATTTTACTGTTCCTGAAGGCTTTTACTTTAATACTAAAACCAACAGTAAGACTGTATATGTTTGTATATGTATGGATTAAATGGCATATTCCTGATATGGCTAAGACAATCATATTGATTCTATTGATTGCAACAGATGTTACAATTGCAATAGGAACAGTTAGTAAAGGTAAGTTAGGTAAAATGACAGAAATAGTGACATTTAATATCTAATAAAGTCTTTAAAAATCAAAGAAGGAAAAGCTGTTTTAAAGATGACATTGGTGTCTAGAATCTGTACAATTATTGGAATAATAGTGAGACTTTGTGGCCAATTGTATCACATAAAAAGGAAAATAAAAACTCCTACAGTGGTAGAATAATTCAATGAGCCAATAATCAATAACAATCAGACCCTCTAGTGGTAGCAGATGTTATTGGATCCAATCTACCAATCACACACAGCTGGCTCGTTTCAGTGTTCCTGCCGGTACTGCTCCACCAGAGCAACGTGACTGAATAATGACCTTAATCGATCTTTATTATATTCTCACACAGCGAGGAAACAACAAACAA